TGTGTGGAATCTTATCATCGTATCCTTGTATCCGTTCCTAATTGTACCGTGACAGACTAATTTTGTACGTCCTTTAAAACTGGAAATGGAAGGTTAAAGTATACTCTACTTGAACTTGGTCCTATTTACTATTACAGTGAGAAAGAGAACTAATTTTTAAATTATAAATGTAAGTAAATAAAGAAAATATATATAGAATCATTTAAACAATGAAAAATAATTTGTATTTTTTTTATTGTAGTTTCAATTCTTTTTTTTTAGTTTCTTTACCTTTATAATGTCATAGTGCCGTTAACGTCACAGTTTTTCTTTCTGTCGTTGATTCTGAAGATCACTGTTCCCCCCTGTCTTGACGTGTCCCACATTTCTTGGTGTAAAAAAGTTTGCTCGCACGCAGGGATATTTTTAAATGTTAATAATTAAAAAACGACGCCTTAAGCGCAATTTCGTTATTCTTGATTGTCGTCTTGTTCTGGTTTGCAGAATCAGCCCTTAAATTTTCTATCAATGGTTGCCGAAAATTTTGTATATGTATACAACACAAAATTCGATTGTTGCAATATCGCTAATACGAAATTAAATCATATAATTACATGATCAATATTTACGTTCATATACCTTATGTTTAGTAGGAGTTTGTATGTAAATCTAACACGATACGAACCAGAATATAAGATAGATTTAACATTTTGAAATCAATTCTGAAGTACATTTAAATGGATGAAGCTCAACTCAGGACTCGTGTTACTTGGTTGTTGCATATCGTGCTTTACCTGAACTGAAACAGAATATGTTAACCTTTGGAACTTATAAAAATAGCAGAAAGTCATTAAAGAACCAGAATTTTTAAGTGTTGTGTATTGTAAGGTGTGCACTAAATAAGTATCATAAAAATGTACTGGAACCTAAATTTAGTCGATTCGATGTATACGAGTAGCAGTTTTTCTAGTTGCTTCTTCAAATGTTTCCTTAACTTTTTCGCACCCTGTCGACGACACAGTTACAATGCGTAAGTGTATACGTACAATCGGATGATTGTAAATCAACTTCGTAGTAAAACGTGATATTGTAGAAATCATGGAATACTACGGGAAAAAAGCAGAACAATCTTCCATTCGATCTCCTTGCAATTAGTGTAACAGAAAATACGAGTACCGTATTTATTCTTCGAATAAAGGTATTCAATTTATAGTACATCATAAAAAGTTAGAAGGGTTATATGCGTTCTCTGATAAGGATCTCCCTCAAAAACATGGTAAGACTGACCTACTTCACCAGTTCGTAATCGTTGACCAACCAATTGTAATTGCCTTTTAGGCAACGTATAGAAATGTTATCAGACTAACTCCGGTGTAAATCGTTACATATTAGCATAAATAAGTTCAAGGCCCATGCGCAGTTGTGCGAATGATGCATTAATTATTCTGCGACATGATTTTGTCAAATCGTAGCAACCTTTATGAATGATATTTGTAATTATAAGTGAGCACGTGTAAGGCATGAAGCAAATCGAATGCAGATTAAATAAAATAAACGAACGCACAGCACTTCTTAAATTATTTTCATATATTTTGCACGGTATATACAATAAGTTACATAAGTCGCAAAAGCAATTAAAAAATGCACGAAGATATATTTATCAATCTCTTTAAATGTTCAATCTATCTCTACGTATAAGTTAATTTATAATAGATTTCAGATTCCTTTGGAAATGTAATCGTCATTGAGCTCATTTGAACGGAGATATTGTTCGTGCAATTTATCAATGGGAGCAGCTAACATTTCTAACCTACGGAAATATTTGCCTATGTCATTTTTTATCAGTTGTTGGTCGTGTTCGTTAACAGTTGGAAATTTCTGCGTTAATAAGTTTTCTCTCTCACGAATTGAGTTACGCAGAGTAGACGCAGGATTACCACACTTCCTACACGTACTTAGCGATCTTCCTAAAATAGTAATATCGAATAAGAATAATAATATATATCAGAAAATTATACGTTAGATTATATTAAGTTGCATGTTAATTATTCTTACGTATCGAGAACTTACTATAAAATTATAGGTTCAATTACACCCAAAAAATTATCGGTCATTGTTAAAAGTAAGGCTATAAAAACAGTAGGGTATTAATTGTAAAATAAACATATTTCTTTTAAATGTTATAAGAACATATAATTTCTCGTAATATTTAAAAATGTTGTTCTCGTCGTATCAAGAGTTTTTGCCGTTTAGAGTTAGGATTTACTAATGTTGCATGCACAATAGTAATCACATAACAAGCTACATTATTTTCTATTTATTTTCTATGCATTCTTCAGCAGTGATAAGACTGTTTAAATACACTTAAATTTTCCTTTATTACTTACACCGTTATTGATAAATTGTGCAATTTTATGCTGGAACTTACTTACAATATCATTTGAATTGTGGGGTTTCGTTATCCTCTGATTTTTCGTCTTTATTTTCCATATGCGTATTTATATAATTTTTAGTCCTTATTATTACCCTGGGATCGTAGAGCTTTATGATTCGCCTATAATGAAAAAAAAAAGTTCTTTTTTTAAATACGCTTTCAACATTTTAATAAAAATACATACCGAGCCCAGTCTGCTTCCATCTTGTATTTATCGGAAGCCACTACATCTTTGAAAAGATTACGACTAGAAAAAAATCCATTGAAAAAAGAAGATGAACTTTGCGAACTGTCGATGTCTTCATAATTTTCTGCCGAAAGTGGTGCATTATAGTGATCATTGCTGTCAGAAAGCTCATCTGTGCCAGTGCTATCCAGATTCTTCCATTCTTCGTGCATGCTTTTTTTTGTTTGGGAATATTCATTAGAATGTGTAAATATTTCAGGGTATGACGAGATATTTGTATCTTCGTAGATAACGTCTTCGGAAATACTCGAATTTTCATCAGAAGTTGACTCGTCTTTTGATCTTCCTTCTGTGCTTTCCATTTCATTTCGGAACTTTACCAACGTAACAGTGATCTTTTCTCTGTTATTATTTTCAGTAGAATTTTTTAATACTTCTGTATGTCCCGAAGCATTTCGTAGAATTGGAACAAAAAGTACGAAGTTCTCTAAAACTTCCATTTTTCCAAGGGTGTCTGCATCTTTCGACTCTTCATGCTTGCTTTCTTCTGTTTGGAGATGTGCATTAGAATCTGTAAATATTTCAGCTTCTGTCGAGACATCTTTATCTTCGGAGCTACTGTCAGAGATCACAATGATTATGTGAGCATTCGAATTTTCATCAGAAATTAACTCGCCTTCTGATATTCCCTCTACTTTCTCTTCATGCTTGCTTTCTTCTGTTTGGGGATATTTATTAGAATTTCTAAGTATTTCAGCTTGTTTCAGGACATCTCTACCTTCGGAGCTACTGCCAGAGATCACAGTAAACATGTGAGTATTCGAATTTTCATCAGTAATTAACTCGCCTTCTGATATTCCCTCTACTTTTTCTTCATACTTGCTTTCTTCTATCTGGGGATACTCGTTAGAATCTGTACATTTTTTAGCTTGTTTCAGGACATCTCTATCTTCGGAGTTACTGTCAGAGATCACAGTGTCTTTGTAAATATTAGAATCTACGTCAGAAATTAACTCGCCCTCTGATATTCCTTCTATGTTATCCACTTCAATTAGTGACTTTTCCATCGTAACATCTGCCCCTTCTCCGTCTTTATTTCCCGTAGAATTTTCCAATGGTTCTGTATTTCTCAAACCACTTTGCAGAACTGGTAAAAGAAGTAGGAAAAATTCCTGTTTGCTAGTGCTATCTAGATCTTTCAGTTCTTCATGCTTGCTTTCTTCTGCTTGGGGATATTCATTGGAATCTGCAAATGTTTCAGGGTTTTCCGGGAGATGTGTATCGTAGTAGCTTCTGTCATACCAAAGAATGTCTTCGGAATTATTCGAATTTTTATCAGAAATTAACTCGCCTTCCGACATTCCTCCTATGTTGTCAATTTCAATTGGCGACATTTCCGTCGTAACAGCTGCCCCCTCTCCATTATTATTTTCAGCAGAATTTCCCAACGGTTCTGTATTTTTCAAACCACTTTGCAGAACTGGTAAAAAAAGTAGGAAAAATTCCTGTTTGCTAGTGTTGTCTGGATCTTTCGATTCTTCATTCGTGCTGTAATCATACCTTATCGACGTTTCGTCTTCTTTTGAATCATCTTCAAATCTATTCGCAGCTTCAGAATCGTTTACAAAAATACCAGGACGTAAACTGTCTTCCTGCGACTGTGTTATGTCTGAATCGATATTTTTTGATTCATCAACGTCCGAAGTTTCATCAAATTGCTTCTCCGTTCTATCTGCAGTATTATAAACATTGAACGCAGTTGAAGTTTCAACGTACGGTGACGTAAATTTCTTATCGTTACTTGTTGACAATATTAAATCGTGCTCTTCGTTTATTTCCGTATCAGGATTTTCTATCGCATTAACGATAGTAACTTCTTCATTAAAGGATTCAGTTTCGTTCATATCCGAAATGACTCTCGAATATGCAGTTTCTTCTTCCAATGGATTTTTCGTGGTTGTCGAAATATATTCAGAACCGTACAATTGCGTGGATGGATTTCCACTTTTTTCATACGTCCAATCTTGACCCTTTAAACTTTGCGATTTTATTTGTGCAACGTTGCTTGCAACGTCCATGTAATTCGATTGGACGTAAAAAGTTTGCCAAATCGAGTAACATGCCCATGCAACGAATAGAATCAATTCCAAGTAGAGAATTATTTTGACACATTGCGTTAAATATTTACGATTGCTTGCTTGTATAGCCTTCACACGAGGATTCTCCTCGTTAGGAATTAACCCTTCCTCTACAGTCACAAGTTTGTCTGTAAGAAATCATATTGAAGAAGAAAATTTTAGTTAATATGCTCTACTGAAACGAATGAATAAAAATGAATGAATAAAGTTGCCCGAAATAGAACGATACACTTTAAAAATTAATAAATTTTCTCGAGTTAAATACTTGAAACATTAGTGTTACATAATTTTGCACATTATTGTAATCCGTTTTGCCAGAAACGTGCAATAAAGCATGCTAAAATATTCTTATAAATCGCTACGTTTGTAACGTTAACATCAAATAATAAAACATTTTTCTTAATTTCAAAGATAAGAACGAATATTAATTTTTATGATAGTAATAGTAACTTATAATAGCGTAAATTAATATTTCGTTAAGAAGTCGAGGTTAAATGTTTGAGAAAAGTTTTAATCGAAGCATTTGATCAATTTTCTTGTACATGTTTGCAATACTGAAGTTCAATAAAAGTTTGTAGATCTTTTCATTTAAATTAGTAAAGCATTTACAATCTGTTCAGAGCGAACAACAGTGTAAATGTCAGATTTAAAAAGTAACTTTAAAAATGTTAAATGTTCCCAATTATTATTTACATATTTTACAAACATTTTTATTTTCCTACAACAGAGCTATTGTGTTTTAATGTGAATTATGAAATAGGACGTGAAATAGCGAGGAAGAGTACTTAGAGCAAGATGAAAATCTACGTAATTATTATATAAACTATTATACTTGCACCGTATAATATTGTAAATATATATATATGAATACATGAAATTTGCATAATAAAATGTATATACGTAGAAAATATGTATGTGTAATAAAAGTAATAAGAAAACTCACCCTTACTGAGGGTCCACTGTTCTTTCATGGTGAACGATTAGTTATAAACTAGCTGTTAAGAAAGAAAGAACATTAAACGAAGAACGCAAAAGTACAAATTAACCTCGACCTGGCAAAGTTTAGCATAAAGAAAAGTAAAAGGTCGCCTCAGTGATAAATGTAATTCTCCTACCACAAGCTTCATACTTCGAGGAAGATCTCTCCAGGTCAAGTTATATCTTCCACGGGTCACACACGATCATTTTATCCTCGTTGTCAGTAAAGAAACTTGCTTGTTCTATTAATTGTTTTGTTAACCATACGTTTCCTTATATTTCGCATTTTCGTTTATAATGATGAAAAACGAAGATATGTTAATTAACGTTATTAGAAAGGTAGCTGCCAATGTGTGAGGAAAACGAATAAAAATTAAGCGGTAAATTTCTGCGTCTAAGAATGATACAGCGTTTTCAAAATAATAACGCGGCTCTAGTGTATACAGTGTGCATCAGATAAAGAGTTACACGCTATTTTCAGGGAACCTATCGAAGACAGCGAGGAAAAATAGTTTTGCAATTTTCTGGTAATAAAAGAGGCGAGGAAATTTGTTTTTGCAATTTTTGGGCAACGAAGGAGACGAGGAAATGCATTTTGCAATTTTTGGACAGTGATAGAGGCGAGGAAATTCTTTTTGGAATTTTTGAGCAGTGAAAAAGGCGAGGATACTCTTTTTGCAATTTTTGACAATGGAAAAGAGTCCGTTGTCAAAAATTGCAAACAGAATTTACTTGTTATCTCTGATAGTTTCCGAAAAAATACCGTGTAACATTTTATCTGATGCACACTGCCATTTCTACATCTTTTAATAATAAAGTATAGTACATATTTCTTTACAAATAAAACGGTACACAAATTTTTACATTTTTAAATAATAAAGAATAGCATATATTTTTTTTACAAATAAAACGGTACACAAATTTTTATATGTTTGAATAACAAAGTAGTATACAAACTTTTATATTTTCGAATGCATCTCGTTTAAACACAGCAATACGTGTATTTATTTGAAACAATTTTCATATTTTACATAATTAAACATAATTATGTTTCAAGAATTGTTTATACACTTTCAAACATCTAACTAAATATTACAGTTTATTGTTCTTATTTACTATTATTCATGTGTATCTTTACGTCCTATATGAAAATTATAGATACAGTAATCATTATCATGCAAAGATTGCGATTGCAATTCCTTGCTCTATTTATAATACATCAATAAATTTGATTGCGCAAAAATCTGGATAAATCGTTAACTAGCGGATACGAAATAATAAAATCTACTTGTATGCTTCAATTCATCGCTTATCTTCGTCATTTTTCAAAAATGCCAGGAATGAATATTCTGTATTTGAATTTTGAAGTAAAACTCTGAAGAATCGTTTTCTTTATTTGATGGTGTAACGGATAGTAAACTAAACGTCTTCTACAGAACTCTTTTCTTAGATAATTCAATTCTTCTTCGATAACAATGCAGGTGTTCATTTTCTATCAGATATCGTTTACCTGATAAAAGACGTAGATGAACGTCGTGCCGCATGATCACATGTTTCAATTAGAAACAGAGTAACAACATGGTACATATTCCACATATAGTTCGCCATCTACTTTGCACGCTGTATATTTTCCACGCTGGTAAGAATTTTTATAAAATTACGCATCTCATTGAAATATTTATACAAAATTCAAGCTTCTATTAATTCCATTTTATTTCACAAAACCACAATTTTACATTAAGTTTCTGTGTATGTGCGTGCATGTACGTACACTGTCATTCGTAATTATTAGAACACCTGTTATATTTGAAAGTATCACGCGATTTAAATTACATTTCGTTGACAAAGTTAGTACCGCGTATCACTAAAAATATGCAAAGTCTTCACGCTATTAGTTTCCAACATTTTTGTAGATTTGTGAGAAAAATAGAAGAGGATAAAGTTTCATTATTTTTTATTAACAATGTGATGACTTAAATAGATTTTCAAAATTTTCAACGATTTTCACGTAACAATGATACCACGAATTTTCTTAAATTGACAGCTATAATCCCTTTTATATTATATGAAACCGGTTAATGAAATAAGTTCCACTACGTACAATTCACAAATTCAATTTCTTGCGAATGTTTCGTATGGCATAAATAATAACACACTATGAGAACGCATATTTTTACGACGTTACCTTAAATGAAGATAGATATTTAGAGGTTTTATCGTATGTACTCGTATCGTGAGATTCGAGAGTGAGTCATTTTTTTCAGTATCTTAATCATTTTGTAATGTCTGCTCATGGTTGTCCTAATACTTATGTAAAACTCAATTCCTCGAAAGTATACTGCAATTTCATCGACGTTAGACATTTTGCAGCAGCGTTCAAATTTCGCTCTTGAACGCACGAACTTTTAGAAAATCAATTTTCAACAACCACCGTCTACGCTAACTTTCAACGACACTTGTTATCAATACGTTGTCAATGAAAAGTTTCTAATTCACGATTTCAGTATCGTCGTACAATGCCGAAGCACAGGAACCGTACATTACCGATCGAAATGTATTCGTAAACGATATTGTTGATTGGAAATGTGAAACAAGTGCGGACTGTTATGTGAATCTAAGTAGCTGCGTCGATGGAACATGTCAATGTCCTTCTGGTTATATTTACAATGGAAATATGACGTCGTGCATTAAAGGTAAATTACCGATAATATTCGTACAAAATACACGGTAAATTGATAATTATCCCCCCGGATCAAATAATTAACGGAACTCCTGTTACGCCGCGTATTTAAATTGTCCTTGTTTTCTGTAACATTAACAGTTGCTAGAAGGTACGGCGATGATTGCGAAGAATCGATACAGTGCTCCAGGTATTTGTTCAGCGGTGCATTTTGCATGAAGAAAACTTGCGTATGTTCTGAAGGATATTATTATATGCACGGACGTTGTAACGAGTATTCAGGTATATTGTCGAACTTGGCAGTACTGTACAAATCAGGCGTGTCCAAACCGTGGCCCCGCGGGCTTCGTGAAGCCCTGAAGAGCTGGTAATCACAGGATAGTAAATATTTAACCCTTTGCGCTCCTTTGTCGAGTGTGACTCGACATTTTTAAATTGCCAGTTTAAACATGTGTTATATTTCGCAATATTTCTTTTTACATTTAGATAATCACGATTACACGTACATACGTGACCCTTTTTTGTAAAAAAGAAGAAAGTGCAATTGTTACAGAAGAGTGTCGTATAAATGTAACGAAGCAATTGTTTACATTGCTTCCTATCAACCAATTGTCCTTTGAAGTACTTTCTAAATAAAACACTTAAAATAATGCGGAGTTATTGGAAAGAAAAAAGAATTCAGAGTGCAAAGGGTTATCACGTGATTTTTAGCGATATTTTTCTACAATAAAAAATATAAAATAACGAAGGAAGTTTTGTTACTTATTGTTAACTGTATATTGTATGTATTTTTGGTGTGTGGCTCGAGGGGATTCCTCTTCGCTCAATGTGGCCCGGGCGAGCCGAAATGTTGGACACGCATGGTCTAAACGATACTACTGGTTCTTTATAAAATATACGTTCTTCTAGGATTGTCTGAGAAATGTCGCAAGGACTACGATTGCTATACACACGGTGTCTTCAATGCAATGTCTTGCGTTAATGGAATTTGCAAATGTAGCTCTAACTTTTATCAACGAGAATACAGAAGTTGTCGTCCGGCAGCGAAAGGTAGGTGATTTCTTCACTTTTTATAACTCTAAAGAGTGCAAGTTGGTGAAATGGAACATATGAACGAACGAACTTTTGCGTTATTTGCAAAAGGCGACGTACCGTTTGTTATCCGGGATACTTTTTGATAAGTAATGGTCAACTGACTGAAACGTACGTCGAAATGTTATGAAATGTAAACAGCGGGCATGAAGACGATAGTAAATTGTAAATACGATATCAGTAGTTCCTAGAACTCGTATTGGACGTTTAAATGCTAATTGTAAGAAAGTACATTTTTTACGTACAATGTCGTATATCCCGTAAAGTATTCACTTTTCTACGATCTAACTTCATACTTTTATACGCAGAATAATGAAAAGAATTAATTTGTGCGAGAAAAAAAAAAGTATGATTGCATTTAAAAGAATCAATGCTCAGTAGGAAACAACAGTGTTCTATCCAAGTCGTCAGAATCACACAGTAAAAAAAAAACATATACTAATTATAATATATTACATTCCATTAATTTGAAGTATAAATTTTTAATTAATTTTCAATTGTTCGTTATCTTATTTTTAAAATAAGCCACACTTTTCATTCGTAATGCATTGTGAAGTAGAAATTAGAATAAAGCTTAAAACTACTTTACCCTTGATTTAAGCAATTCTACTATGAATATTTTTGCCATCGTCGTCACTGCTATTTAAGAGTAGTAGTTATTAAATTCCATGATTCTAATATTTCTGTTGCACAGGTGTTAGGGATAAATGTGTCATTGATAACGATTGCAAGCAATTTAATAACGCTGCGAATTGCCAATATGATAACACATGCGCGTTAGAAGAAAATAATACAGTGTCTGAATTCTTGAATAATAACAATATTTTACAAAAAAGTGACCCAACTAGTACAGGTTTGTGAAAATATTTTTCATTAATATGAGAAAAAAAAAATTATGAAAATAAAGTGCTTGCTTTGAAAATATTTTTCATTAATATGAGAAAAAAAAAAATTATGAAAATAAAGTGCTTGCTTTTTGTTTACAGTAACTAAGTGTACGGTGGATGCAGATTGCAAAGATTTAGGAGATGCATTTTGCGAACCTTCAGGAACCTGTATTTGCAAACGTGCACATTTTTTTAACGAAGAATCAAATAAATGTGTTCCAGGTAAGAGAAATGTTTTTTCTCTGTGAAAAGCTTTAAACGTATCAGGTATTTAACGATACTTTGTTAAAATGTTGAAAGCTACAAATAGCTTGCTTGCGTACAGCACCCCGTATATTGTTCAAACGGAAAATTGTTCCACATTTGTTAATCAACGTGATAAAAATTCACGTTTACGTCCACGCGACAGTGAAAAATATTTGAAGGTGTTACGAGAGATTTACAATTGCATTAAATACTAATAATTTAAATACACTTTCATTGCCGTTTGTTTTGTAGAGTTTTTGCAAAATTTAAGTAACTGGAGAATTTTAGGTAGCTGAAAAATTTTAAGTAACTGAAAAATCTATGTATCTGCAAAATTTTAAGTAATTGGAAAATTTACGTATCTGCAAAATTTTAAGTAACTGAAAAATTTGTGTATGTGCAAAATTTTCTCTAATTTTTGAAATGTTTTCTGCTGTTACAGAACTTGGAGAATCATGTCAACCTGGAGACGAGCCTAATATCGAGTATTCAGAATGTCGCAACGGTATATGGAACTGCGAATTGGACAGAGCTGTTTCAAAGAATAATCAGAAATGTGAAAAAGGTGAAACACGATTTTCGAAATATCAATTGTGAAATTGTTCGTGAGAAATAACTGATTCAGTTCCATCTTATTGTAAGCGGTAATATCTTTTGTGTATTGCAGCAACAAAGAAATATAACAGTTATTGTAACAGTGATATAAATTGTCACGTTTTTGGTCCGGATGCTATTTGCGAGAACAACAATTGCGTATGCAACGAGAATTCTCGGTTTGTCGAAAGCGAATTATTTTGTTGGACAAAAAGGGGGATAAGTGAAACATGTCACAAAGATATAGATTGTTATATTAACGAAACGGATACTAAACTGCACTGTAAAGACAATTTCTGTTCCTGTCCAGATGGAACTCATCCGAATTTCAATAAAACCGATTGTATACATTTTTCAGCAGGTAAGATGCACTTCACCTAAATTTCTTTGCTGTTTATAGATATACGAACAAAACAGTTTATTTACGGAAATATTTGTAATTATATTTATTAGGTCGTTCAGTTTAGTTCGTACCGTTTATAAATGTGCCGTTTAGATCAATGTTCCAAATATACGTCGCTCCACAATATCATCCCATCTTTTTGGCAAAGTCATTATACCATCGCTATAAAATTTCTTCGGTTTTTATTCAAATACTTTTCAACGTTATCTCTCGTAGAGTCAATACTGTCAAACACGCGAAAAAATGTTGCAATCCGCGAAACCGATGGTAATCTGACGGGTGTGTGATAAAATTTCCCAACTGAATTCGCATAATCTTTTTTTGCACATTTTGTGCCATATGCAGTTCGGAAGAAAAATCACTTTTTTTCGATTAAAGAGTCCTCGATGTGTTCACCGCTTCTCTCAACTTTTCCAACTGAACAGATTCATTTCTCGAAAGTAACTTGAAATACAAAACACATCGCGGCACGAACTTATTGGACGACCTAACATTAACGAAAATATTATTTTAACCATTGATATAAAAATATATACTCAATTTTCGCCTAGGTATTGGATCGGTGTGTGAAACTGACATGGATTGCACTACGAAGAATGCAGAATGTGCAAACAATGTTTGTACTTGTCGAAAGTATTACTATCTATCCAACGATCAATGTTTACCAGGTAATTTTAACGATTCTTCGTTGTAAAGACGAACATGTTGTTAAAACCCCTTTTCTTTTCAAGGTATCGCTAGCTCTTGCGACAACGATACTGATTGCAAACCAGAGAATTCAGAATGTAGAGTGGGTCATTGTTATTGTCTAATAGGCTACGTCGCCGAGTCAATTAATTCATGTCTACCAGGTACATATGTTAATTAGAATCAATGTATAACAACACTGAAAGAATGTTCATTTTATTCATGTATAAGAAAAAAACATGTTAATACAACTATACCATTTCCGAATGAATAAAATCCAGATATAAAATGGTATGTAATAATTATGTCAACAAAGCGATAAATTTTCTTTTCAGTTGCAGCGTATGGGGACTCTTGTGAAAAAGATATTCAATGTTCTGCTGAGTTACCAAATGCAGTTTGTTTACACGTCGATAACTCGATTTCCAATACAACAAACTCAACGTGTGCTTGTGCCGAAGGCTATCACTACAACTACCTCAGATGTCATAAACGTAGAGGTAAAAATACAAAATATACGTACGTACATAGGACACTTGAAAATTGTAGGTTTTATTGATAATATTTATAGGAGTTTTTTTTTTTAAGATAAACTTGTGAAGCTACTCACAAAGGATACGTTTATTTTATTGCAATTTAATTTAGCGTAATAATAATCTCACTTGTACTATCCTCTTTCTTGGAATATACTTTCTGACGAAGTTAGCATACTTCGCCTAACAAGGGAACATCCCGAAGTGATAAGTATCAATATTAACGAAACATTGGTAGTATTCGAAAAATTATTTTAGGTTTAAAGAGTGAAAATCGTTATGAAAGATGAGAGTGATAAACATATTTGGACAAAATTATTTATTACTTTTCAAACTTGCATTCAATTTCACGAAAATTTCAAGTCACACGTGAAATTTCCTTTTATTTTTTCCCATTTCTTCCATCAAACAAATTTTTCTTCCATCTTATTCGCCCTTTGAAACCATTTAAATTACGTATCCAAATTTTTTTCGAACTATCATAGCTAGAGAAGATAATTAGGAGGGCTGCTTTACATGATACATCCTGTGTATTCACCATGCAACGAAGTAGTCGAATTAGGATGCCTCGTCCTGTATATGAAAGTTGTGATTCTGATGTTGATTTATTGCTTGAATATACATACACATATTACATATTGACGAAAGTTTGTTACACGATATTCAAGTTTTCTTGTATAAATTTGTATCTAAACTAATAAAATTATTTTTATTAACCGGATTGTTTCAGTTCTCGGTATGAGCTGCATGAATCTTGCGGAATGTTATCTGGATTCCGGCGATCGAGTGGTCTGCAAGAATGGTCGGTGCGCATGCGATTCGGGTTACATTCAAGTAAATAATACTGTGTGCAAAGAAATTCAACGTTACAACATTAACGGTAAGTAACCTTGACTCGTGACCGATCGGGTAAATTTTCCCTGTATTTCACTTCCGACGATGCGAAAGAGAAAAAAAAAAAAGAAAGAACAAGAGGTCGAAGCTTTAACCGATGGTTTTTTGGATTGCTCGTAAAACTCTCCAGTGCGGTAAGGTAATGAGTTTGCAATTACCTTTCAACTGTTCACATACCTCATTTTCAGCTGCGTTGCAAGCGTTACGATTGCACAACTTGATAAAATATATTCGCAAGACGACGTAAGCCCTATCTCACACAGGAGTCTTTTTTTGTAAAAGAAACGCAAGAAATGAAGGTATTTCTTGCGGCTATAATTCCGCCATTGCTTATCGTATCTTTGCATTAAGCTTCTTTTACTGTTACATTTTTATCTCATTTTTCGCTTAAATGTGAAACAATGCAGGAGGCCATATTTAAGGGAGCAAATAAGAATTATTTCGTATTTTAACGTTGAACATACAAAAAATTGAAAGTTGAAGACGTTACTCGTTGCATTATCTTGCCCTTTGAATTTAACGCTTCTTTTTAAAGCACTTTATTGTACGAGTCGTAATGAATAAGGAAATCCTTTACATTTTATCATTAGTTTTAAATTAGACGAGAATAAAATTATTTTTTACAAAAATATGAAGGTATTCGATAAGTGGAAATACTTTATAAATTTATATTTTTATGTAGAGTGTTCGGTAATTGTAGAAAATTTGAGGAGTGATTCTCTAAGTTAAAATGAGACGAAAATTAAGAGTAAGAAAATTCCGTTTGAGGCTTCGTTTTCTAGTTATTCGCATTTGGAAATATCCCCGTGATCGAGCAATCCTCTCTACACCAACGAATGTAGGGTTTCTTAAGACATGGGGTGTATAATGATCCTTAATACCAACGACACTCCTGAAGATGTAAACTGACACTCGGCGCACAGTTTTAACATAATCCTTTAAATTTTTAATATAAGTTTAACTTATTTTTCTTCAATTTTTATAGTTTTCTTTATTCGTGTGTATGTGTGCACAGTGTTCCTTATGCTTGTTATACTATATTTAAAAAAATTTTCGACATGAATGTCGTTGTTTTCTTCTCTGTGAGTTTTGGAGATCACTGTATGTGTCTTGATACGTAGAGAAGCAATGTATTATAAATTTTAATTACTTCACATAATGTTTGGCTTGATCGAGTCAAATAATGTGTATACATATTATACATTATATTATTTTTTTTTTTCAGATGGTAGCATTAGGATCAATACTATGGGGTTGATACCAATATTACTGTGGATGATAAATTTTTTAATTTAACAAAGCATGACTGAACTCTCATTACATTACACACATTGTATCAAGTAATAATGCAGAAATTTACATTGAAATTCATAATTTCTTTTATAGCGAAAATATTATAGAATTTTTAGTGTTCAAGTATGACATAAGTTCACGAGTTTATAATATAATATTAAATCATCGTAGAGTCGTAACAGTAATATTTATAAATTGTTAAACACAGTGACAACTAACTAAACTGTAATTTAATTTATCGTAAACATTTCAAATGAAAAATTTACTTACAATATAAAATAAATCTTGTAGCGACGTAAAATAAGATAAATATATTTGCATTTGATAACCTACTTATTGAGGAACACGTTCGATTGTATGTATTAGGTATGTATATCAAAGCAAATTCTGTTCACATCATGAATCATTTCGTGTGTTAATGTTTCTGTACATTTTCGTTAATCACTTCACGCCTGTTCCCTTGATTCAAATTTATGGTAAATATTCGTAGAATGAATCTTTTTGCATATGTATACTACAATAGCATTTTCAACGTCTATTATTCATGTCGCGTAACGAGAAGAAATGCTTGAAAATTTAACAGCATTTTTTCCAGTTTGTTATTTATTTTAGTACTTTAAATAATACGTATATCATCGTATAAAAATTCAGCTTTATTCTCATAAATGAGACAGCGAGAAAAAAAAATATTACTGTTATTATAATTAATGTATCACTCGTTTATTTAAAAATAATAATACGTTATATTCTATTTGCAATGTGAATAACATTATTTTCTTCTTTCCACGATTACGATAGTTCTCCTATGTCAGGTAAGTGGTTGTTTTAATTTGTCAATATCAGCACAGAATATAGTACTCCCTCTTATCTCTAACACCTTAACGTTGGCCCCTGGTAAATGCGTTATCAACATTGAAATATCATAAGCGAGTATAAGAAAGTTTTTGTGTATTTCGAACATTCTGCTCAATAATTAATCAAATGTTTCAGAACGTAATATCAGTTTTATACATATAATCAATCAAGTTTATCTCCTACACTGACAAATGATTCAGAGAAAAACTATTCCATCAACTCACGAACACCAATCACGATTAACATTCTCGTCAGCCTATTTCACTATAATAGTATAATAACCAACATTAGTATAATTTCTCAATACAAAACAATGATAATAAATGGTATTATGCGGTCTCGTTAGGTTCGTTTTCTTGCTGTTACTGTCGCGAACCCGTGAAAAGGTAACAAATCGAACACTTGTTAAATTAAAATCGTCTTTATTTTGATTAACACAAGAACGAAATTAGTATGAAGTTTATTGCCTGAAATTTCGAGTTTTTCTCTGATTCCAGTTCATGCTCAAGGATTAATATTCTGCTGCGAGGGTGTGAGTGTCAGGATTTTGATTGGTTATCGATAGGGTGGAGGTAGTGTTTCGAAAAGTTTGTTCCTTTGGCAAGGAGATTATTTATGATGAAGATCCTTCAGGCCAAAGAGCTAGCTAATTTACATATTTTGGATAAGTAATGTACGGTTGAAAGGAACTGAGGGTTCAGGTGGAAGTGACGATTTCCAGATACTCTCGCAAAATGAATATATTTTCTGTAAAGCTATGGTCGTGAGGTATAAGCGTTGTTCGCCATCTGATCGTCCGTCCAACGAGTCAAGTCAGTAGAGGTAAGCAAAATATTCGCGTAGGAAGACCCCTTAACCCTCACCCATCCCTCAGTTTCGCATCTTAATAGGACCCTCGGTGTTAATTTGACACAAAGGTAAAAAATCAATTAAATGAAAAGATTTCTATTAAATGTAGAAAATAAAGAAAATTTTTTTTCTACAAATAGCTGAATAATACAATTTTTTATCGGAAAAATGTGTGAAATTGACACGAGGGACGGATGAGGGTTAAGTGGCTCGTTTCGCATCCGCCAGAATGGAGTTTCTTGCAACGAAAATCGAAGTCCACATTTTTTCCCGCTGTTATCACTTTTTTAAATATACTGCAATGGAAGAACCAGTACCGAGTGGACTTCGTACGAATCTTAAAAGAGACTCGAGCTCCTTATCTCACCCAAATTGTTGTTTCGGCGATCGAATTTCGTATCCTTTCAGACCTGCCCAATTTTACGAGCTCACTGTAACTCTTCCACCAAGTATAACATGAAACGTATACAATAAAATCCACGACGGATTGTCAGGCCTCGCTTTGAAACCGATTTCTTAAATGTTTGTAACTAAAATGGACGTTAAATTTTTGTTAAATGAAAAATCGCTTCTTAAACTTTTTTCTTTTCACTCTTTAAAATCACTGCAAATCTTGCACCAAGTGTGTACCAACGATAAAGTAAGCTCAAACTATTTCGACACGATTCCGATGTCTCTTCGACAACATTTCGAGGAAGACGAGGCGAGCCACAGTCTGAATGGATAAATTGAGGAATTATTTAAATTGGTAACACTCGAGGCAATTATCGAGTGTCTAAAAATGTGAATGGACGAAAAGCTAAAAACTTCGACTAGAGTAAATCCGTAACGAGACGAGACGAGTTTAGATACGAGCTTAGAAAAAGAATCATGAAGTAACGAGGTTTAGTATGAGCCTACCTTTAGATGGGATATTTCAGCAAGCTTGCGCTGAACCTTAATAAATCAGAAAGCCTTTACGAGTACAATAGGTGTAATCAACTTATCTGTCATTACGATCGATAAATGCAGATGTGCTACTAATACTCGAGTTATGCTGAGTAGCTCGATTAAGGTGGAAATATCCGTGATTACCCTTAATGCATCGTATTTAGTAACCATAGTCATTGATGGCAATGCGTTACCGATGCAACTAAACGAGCTGCTAACTAAATTGACCTTTGACACGCGGTACATTGTTAACCCTTTCGCGGATAATCGGCAAAATCTTTCGTTTCGGCGTTTAAAAATTGTAGAAAATTTGTAATTTACCATTCTTAAAGTTTTGTTATTAAATTAAAGCGAGAGTACTCGAAGGATTGAATTTTAAGCAAAATTTAAGGGTTGAATTAAGGCGAGAGTGTACCAAAACTCACCGAGAAAATTTTCAAAACGCCTACAGGCTCCGATAGCGGTGAAAGGGTTAAGTATCAAGTGTGACAATCTTTGTTTCAACGGGGAATAATAATAATCTTGATCGAATCCAAGTAGAAAAATCAATTTAATTGCATACTCCGGTCAAACGAAGTGCGACAAACTCGTTTTCTCGAATAGAACTTTTTCTAGCTTAGCATACTTTTAAATAATTTTTTCAACTATGGTTCAAAGGTATTCGAATTGCTTATACGTTAGAAGTGTGTTAACGGAACGAATTGGTCGAATTTGAAAAAAGTTTACAGCGTTCGAAAAAGTGTCCCGATATTAGCGAAAATCGCTGTATGTATAACGGAAACGAAAAGGGAATGTTCGGGAGCGTTGAATGTGAAATTTCGCGGAGCACAACGGAAGGAATTGAAAATCAATGGGCTAAAAAGAGCGTCTATCCATTTACTGATTTCCCCTATCTTATTATCCGATGTCGAATCGAAGGTACGGTTCGCTATCAGTCACATTGTTCATTCCATTCGTTAGTGGTGGATTGTAGAAGGATGCGAAAGGTCAAACGCCAACCAGATGGACAGCTGATAGAGGCTCGACCTGGCTTCTTTCTTCGTGAAATGGGTTAGAAGCCATTCGTGCGATCAGGAAGTGACATTGCCGTTGAGATCGTCGACACGATATTCGAAAGTTCTTCAACGTGTGACTTTAATCTTGTGAAATAGTCAAAATGGCCGCGAATCCAACTTTTCTTTTTTTTCTTTTATTGCACGCTCCTCGGATATTTTCTCTGTCTCGTTATATCGAGCAGTGCTTAATTTATTTGCACGAAGTACAATGTGACAGCTGTATTTTTCTACACTTTGCATATTTTGTAAATGATTGCAAATGTAGATATGGCACCGATGTTAAATATAAATTCATTTATCATCTCTATAGGCGTAAAGGTCATGTTTGAAAAATACGTATTAATTGTTAATAGTGACGGTTTAGCCACCACTACACTTTTATTCAATTCTTAGTTTAATTTCTTAGAAAACGATCAGTAAGCGTTAATAAATATTCAATAAGGAAATCATTTTTTCGAGTAAGAAAAGATACGAATAACTGAACAAAGGTGTTATTTCTACAGGCATAAAGACCGTATTTAATAAAAAACTGTAACTGTTAAATAAATATTAACTGTTGATATAAGTTTTATTCAAGAAATAAAAGTTTATAATTCGTTAAAATTTTTCTTACTTAAAAAGTCATTTCCTTATTTATCAATATTTACCATAAACTGTTTCAAGATATTAAACTAAGAATTAAGCACGAAATCAGACGAGAGGAAGTATTACTTTACCGATACTCAACCACTTTGTACTAGAGATTAATTAGCGTTATTTAAAGCAATAAATTAATTTCGTATAAGACACAAAGATAAAGCAAGATCTCATAAATCTCAGCTGAGAGAATGGCAAAATCAAATTCCCTCCAATTTCTTTCGTGCCTTTACTCCACATTTCACACGTTCTTTGCAACCATTCCTCAAACTTGCGAAACAATAAAACCGCTTTTTACGCAAAAGAAATTGCACGAATGTTCAGAAATACGTCTGATCGTGTAAAAGCGGAAAAGAAAGTTGAAGAACACGGGGTTAATAAGGTAGGACGACGGGAGCGTACCACACGTCGCACGGTAATTTCACGTACAATTTCAACGTCCGATTAGATAAAGATGTATATCTCGTATGAGAAAATCATGCTTGATATCGCGATGGATAACCGTGACCAATTCAAGGAGCGAGAAAGCCCGGCATTGAGAAATTTAAGAGGTAGTCAGCGATCTGTAAGTGCAAATTGTAACGTGCGATTGAGCTCGAAAGGGCATAAATTCTAACCAGTTTCTCTGTGTGCGCGCGCGCATGTGTGTGTGTATATATACACACGGGACGACTAGGGGTTTTG